ATAACTGAATGTACGAACAGCGCTACCTAGAAGTAGTTACGGTTGCGAAAAATGAAGCAAGCAAAAAAAAAAAAAAAACAAGGATAGAAAAGAGCGCTGCTTTTGGTCCAGTGCTTTTTTGTATCCTTGCTTTTTCGCTTTCGTGGTTGCGCTTTAACTACTTTTAGATTGTGCTGTTCGTACATACAGTTATGTCTTACCTACTTGCCCAAGTTTCCACGCTTCCTAACAAGTATGTTAATACAAGACAAAGGATGACATGCAGCTGAAGAATGGCAGTGCCGGCATAATATTTGACATTTTCTCCCCTATGAAAATTGGGCCTGACAAACAAACAGTAGCAGCAGCATTTGAACAAACACCAATATAACAAGATCATGATGCTCGTGAATGGGCATGCAACTATGCACCTAATAAAACATTGTTCACATAATAAAACAGATTGAATTGTAGGACATTGTCTCAGGTAATAAAACTGTTGTGCCACCCTTATAACTACTATCGCACTCTGAAAACATTATTGAACTTGTTTAAAAGAAAAAGTGCAAGTTCAGTGTGCAACATTTTAAATGAATCCACTCATGAGCTAGTTGGTACATTTTTTGATACAAAGTACAGTAGATTCACAGTATACAGAAATCTCTTAGGTATAGCTGTTTAAATGACACAAATTCCTGGCCTGTGATTAGTTTCGTGCATGGATTCAACAGCACTGTTCATCTCTCAGTAAACGAAACTTCTGTTGAATTTTCTGGTCTATTCAGGTTCTGTTTGATACGGGTCTACCGCATGTGCAGCACAGAGAAACGGAGACACAAGGGAGATACAGAATTGAAATGCGCACCACACTTCGGTCAGGCAGGTTTAATCAAATAAGCAAAAAGAAAGAGAAACAATAGACGTAGTTCGATCCAGTATCAAGTAGGAAAGTGAATCAATGACAAAAAAATGTGGCTTCTGTTTGGTTTCCCAGTGATGAAACGAAAAAAAGGCCCCAGTCATTGTCATTTATGTGTCTCAGTTTCTTTGCACTGTTTATACTTATTGTGTATCGAGGCTCGTGTATTAGCAAGATGCCATAAGTAGCAGAAGTGATACCTAGCCTGATTACATGTAAAAACATAAAAAAAGTCTAAGGGCATTATCTTTCAAACACTTTTTGAGGTAAGCACTCTAAACAGACAAGTAGCTGATTTTTCTGTTCGATTTCCTTTACACGTACTCCCAGCAAATCTTGGTCAGACTTCACTGCTATGCTCGGCTTTATACATGGTACGCAACAATAAAGATATAAAAGTATCCAAGAAGACACCCCAAAGTAACCAGAATAGCGCTGCACTGGTTACAGCTACTGAAGTTTGCAACCCTCCTACCAGGCGAGCCTCGCGTTGCATCTTTCGAATCCATTGCATCTGGTGAATTCTCTCACGAAGCTTTTCTCTGGGTAGAGCTTTTTTTTTTTTCATGAATTCAGTTTTGCTAGTAAGTTCTTTTTTTGCGTGTGTGATAGCTATTTTGAGTGAACTGTGTGCAGGATCAAAATTTTGTATCAGGGTTGTAAGCATAGCGATATGACTGGTCCCAAGTGACAACAAAAGTCGTTTTGGTGCTGTTATTATTTACAAAGCACGGACTCCTTTACACTCAATGATCACTTTGCTCATTTGTTAAAACCAGAGGTAGAAATTTATCACAACACTTGTCATCCACAAATCTTGAATAAAATTTTAGTGAACTGAGCTCTACGGTATACCGCATGTCAATCTTCAAGCACCAATGCACAAAATTTTTCACTATTTTTATCCGTTTGCAAAGCTGATGAATGCTCACAATGAGGTCTCATGAATCAACATTTTCTACTTTTTTTTGTTAAAAAAAAAAACACTCATACCTTTTTTTTTTTCCCTCATAGCTACTTCCCTGAGCAGCACCCTTGTAAACAGTGTTCATTATTGCTATAGTTACATAGTCCTTTATCCAGAGCAAGAAACAAATTCACAGCTGCTCACACACTTTTTTCACATACACACAAAAAAATCACTGTACCCAGAGAAAACCCCCCTAAAAAAATCTACTGGATACAACTTATAGGTCTCGAAATGGCGAACGAGCACCACGCCACGCACTTGGAGTGAACGAACACAGCAGACACGGTCGGTACAAACCAAACACACGCATACATTTATTTAACTACTTTTGAACGACGATATCGTCCGCCGAATCGATACATCAATCGTAATTAACAACTAGGACATTTGTACACACTGTTACCATACACTCCATGACAAACATAATAACACGACAAACATACAATAACATGACAAACACAATAACACACCCAAGGCGGCGTCGCCAACGCTTGACTTACCACAAGGGGCCCCGACGTGCGGCCCGCGGTGCCACGCGCCGAGGACCCACGCTAGACTCAACTGTTTGCCGCAACCGCCACGCGAAGAAGAGCCTCGCTCAACTCTCGCCCGCCACCAAGGCTTGCTTCCGCCAGGGGTCACTGCCGGCGCTACCCCATGATGATGACGATAGTGGTGGCCAACTCTCGCGAACACGACGCCACCTACCGCCCAATGGTTGTAACCCAATGCAGCTTTTGGGCGAGACACGTGCGCCACGCGGCGCAAACAACTTTACAGAGAAGTGTCTAGCCTTACAAATTTACTGAAAAAAAAAAGTGGCAAAACACTCATCTGGCGAAAAAATTGCATACTATTATGTTTGCTGCACTGAGCAAAGCGCTATTCTGGTTACTCTGAGGTACCTCCTCATTGTACGATTGTAGAACTTTCACTCCACACAATTTGTGGAGTAGCTCCTAAACTAAGAAGACTTATATAAAATAAATGAAGGAGGGGAAATTCAAGAGCTCATTTGTCTTCATTAGAAGCTACCTTACTAGGAACCAACCGACAATCAAGCCAAGAAAAGTCTATAGACATGGCGGTGGTCATAGGAAGTCTGATTGATATGTGGGGTTTAATGTCCCAAAACCACTATATGATTATGAGAGACTGGTCATAGGAAGTCTTTAAGGTATAACTAGAACTGAGAATCTGCAACTGAAAAACCAATTTCAGTTCTCAGATGGCATGGCTAAAGCATCGTTCACAGTCTCCATGTTTGCAGCACTGCATGCTGATCATGCCTGAAATTTAGGTAGACAATATATACATTGTTTCCAGGTGCAGTTGAAGGTGCCATGAGAAAGTCTGTAAACTTGCACAGGACCAAAAAATTGCTTAGCAACTGTATCTAATATTTTTGTCAACAAATCAAGCAGCATGTGCCTAAAGATGCTGACAGAATTTAAAAGTAATCTCTGATATGTAACACCATTCTATCTTAATTGCAGACTACTTTCAAAAGAAGACATTATTTGGATAAGAAATCTGAATGAACACTGTAGTAACTAATGAAGCTTTACCGATAATCTTCAGATAATTACTTTACAGCACATATTACCATTGACGGACCGTGGCTGGTTTACATTATTGTCATATCCATTCAAAACTAATTATGTAATAAATACTAACCAGCGCTTGTCTGCAAGAGGCCGTCTAGTTTTGAGTGCATTTGGTACAGTAAAAAATTTGTGCTTCAATTTTTTATGTTGCGTTTGAGCCGTGCAGCAGGGTGACAACAATAGGTAGCAATGAAAAGGACTCGCACTCCTTAAACTGACTCTCTTAAGGAAGAAAAAAATCTCGAAGTCCATGTCTTTGTATAATGCAAAAATGGGACGTAATTGCAAGATTTAGAAAATTCTATGGTCACCACGTTTTGTTTTAAGGCAAAAGCCTTGTATCTATAGCGAGTTGAAAAATCGACAAAGTTGGCACAAACACAAAATGTTAAAAGATAAAGTTCATAAAAATGCGGTCAGAGGGACTTGAGCTGCACACTCGCATCATCTTTACAAAAGAGTGAAGCTGAGGTGATATAGAAGAAGCACCAGGGCGCTTTCAAGAAAAGCAGTGGAATTGGAATATTGATTATATTATGAATACATACCAACTAGTTCAGCTCTTCATTATTTTCATCTGTGAACTCGCATATGGGTCTTAATATATTCCAAGATTTCCAGATTCGTCATAGCATAGAGAAAAAGTGGCGATGTGAACAAAAATTTTGAAAACAATGCCGACAAATAAATTTCAGTGGGTGCCTAGAGTTGTTGCCTATAGTAAGTTGAGAAACCGGAGAGATTTTTTTTTAATGAGCACCTCGATGATTTGCCTCTACTGTTTATTGCATGAGTGAAAAAATTCTGGATACCATTCAACAGTGATGTCTTAACTGTTTTGAAAAGGTAGAAATGGCAAAAAACGAGCAAGTCATACAGCATGAACATTACATTAGAACAAATTAGGATAACATTCAGCTGTATTCTAACAATGAATGAGTGATTAATACTACTATGCCTGCCAGTTCCTCACAAGATTGGCAACTGCTACAGTGCATGAAGGCTCTTGTGTACTGCTTTGAGAATCGCTGTGGTTGTAGCTCAAACTGAATATACAACTTCACTTAATTGGTTGATGTTTTTGGTTATATTGTTCAAGAAAAAGAAAGAAAACAATAGCAATTTTGAGCAAAAATGTCAGCAAGGTGGGCATGTGACAAACTGGCTCAGCTCAGAGCTGGTGAGTAGACCTAAAAATAACTTTTTTTTTTTTAAAGCCAATTCACAAAATATGAGTTGGTGCCAGGCCTGTTGTTCACTTCAATATGACAGATACGGCTCCATATCTTAATGATTTTCAGATTGTTTCAACCACAGTTTTTCTACCCGTAAAGTCTTCACCAAATGAAGAAGTCAGCACCCAACTTGGCACCTTAGATTCCACCATTCTTTCAAATTTCTAGTGCAAGAGCAACTGGAACAGGACAAAAAAAAAAAAAAAAAAAAGAGTCCACTGTGCCAGACAGGGAAATGGTGAAGAGCAAAGGCTGCTCTAACTATAACTTCAAGAGCTAAGTTTCCTTACCTTGCTTAGTAGTATAAGCCATACCTCACAGCTAGCAGGCTTACTATGAGGGCAGCCAAACTAAGCAAGGTCATCCACACAGGAGGAATGTTTTGTCCATACACATGACTAGCTTGCTGAAGCGATGCAAGAAAGGATTCCTAGGCATGAAAACATTAAAACTCAATTTGTACTCTGTTTTGAATATTGTAATAACAAGAAAACAAAAATCACTGCCAGGCAATGTAAGCATTTTTCAGAAAAATTTATAGTGACAAGTGTAAATTGGTACAGTGAAACCTAGTGAACTTGCAAAGCATTTCTATCTCGGCTTCAGCATTGTCCTGGCAAAAGAAGTTGCGCCCGGCAATGTCCAGTTCCGACACTCTCTAAAGACAATGAAGACAACGACACAAACTCAAAGCTCATTAAGTAAAGTTGCGCCTTACACAAAAGCTTATTACTAGAAAGGAGCAGCATCTCCACGCGGAGAGAAGCATATTGGCACTTGAGAGAGAACCAACACTGAATGGCAGCTCTTTTTTTTTTTTTTGCTCTTTTCGCGCGGGTCAAACAGAGAGAGGTCTATGTGGCAGAGAGGGGAAAGCGTGGCACTGGTGCATGAGAGAGAGCTGAGAGCCAACATTCCGCGACAGTTTTTTTTCCTCTCTCTTTTCGGGTGCGGCGTTCAAAGAAGAAGGGTCTTTACGTGGCAGGGAGAGAAAAGATGGTGGTAGTGAGTAGTTCTTGAGAGGAGGAAAAAGGCACCGAATTTCTGTCTGCCTCTTGGGCGACACGGCGCAGTGCCTTGTAGGGGAGGGCAAAGGAGGGACAAAAAGAATAGTGAAAAGATATAGATAAAAAAATAGGACAGGCAAGCAACAGAAAAAGAAGGAGATAGAAAAGTTGAGAGCCGGTGGAAGAAGCCCGAGGTCGCGGAGGGCGGACCAGTCGGCGAGAGCTACGCTGGCGTCGCGAGATCGCGGGCGGCACAACCGTTCAGCTTGAAATTCTCCGAGCAACTCCGGCAGAAAAGGGAGAAGCGTGGCACAGGCGCGTCGCAGTTCCGCATTCGAGAGAGAGAGAGCATTCCACTGCAGCCTTTTATTTCCTTTTCTTTTCCTTCGCCCGCAGCGTTGAGGTGTCGGAGGTGCCTCCGCGGGATTAGGCGTGGCGCTAAGAGCATTTTCGCCCATTGGAATACACATAGCTTCGATAGGACTTCATCGCGAGTTCAAGTTAACCGGAAGTTCGAATTAAGCGTGTTCGAATTAGTGAGATTCGACTCTACGTATTATGGATGAAGCATACAATGCTTCATCCATATCAATATTGAAAGAAGCATGTCAGGGCTTCATCCCACTGCAATCACACTGTTTGCTATGCAACCATAGATGTGGGTAGTATGCTTCGTCAAAGACTTTAGCACAGGACAAGCGCTGTGCATAGAATTGTCAGGGCAAGTGCGCCGAAGCTGCCTGTGAGTGCTTTGGCGAGCAGACTGCAATTGGCACACCATTGCAGACAAGCCTCATCAGCCCAGCACACCGCCAACCATTCCATTTGAAACTCCTTTTTACAATAGGTCAGGTTGAGTTGCTGTTGCTCCGCCAACATGCATGGCAGGTGGAGCTAGCCTCGAGCATGTTTTGACTGTACTCATACTTGAGCACAGTCTGATACATCAGGTGTGTATTTCATTAGGAGGAATATGCTATGCGTGCATTTTCACAGTTAGATACACTAGACTTTTTGTGTGTGTTCATTATAACCAGGTTTGACTGTAGTCCTGATATTGAAAAATGCATTGCATGACCAAATGCAGCACACCAGTTATAAGCACTCCATTTACACCAAGCAAAATGGTATGCAGGACAAGTACTTTCAGTTGGGTACTGCGCTTGCAGTAGTGCAAGTGACTACATTTATGAGATAATGTGCCATTATGGGATACCATTAAGAGCATCCTGCATTCTTGCAAACATTTGTCAAGCATGAAATAATTAAAAAGATACATCAAAAAGAGTAAATAGGTGCTCTTGCAAAACTAAATGAATGCTGCCAAATCCCCTTTTTCTCATAAATATGCGAGCTAATACCCTGAAAAGCTTGATTGACTTTAAAGACTAGCACAGTTATAATTGCAATATAACCACAGGCAAAAAGAAAAAACAAAAACAAAAGGAGTTTGCTCAAATGCTGCTGATACATGGTAATAATTATTAGTTCCTTGTTAATTATTGATGTCTTTTTCTCTGAAGGAACTGCTGTAGAGAATCCTGTAAAGGAACGTAGAAATCCAAAGGTCTTGTAATCTCCTGCCAATATTGTAATTTTCTGCATGCCAGTGTATGTAAACACAATAATAATGATAATGCAACACCACACTCAAACACAACACATTAGGTAGCTGTTTCTGAACTGCTGTTTAACAAGAGTCTAGTAAAGCTGTATTGCTAAGTTACCTTTCATCCATAGCAAAAGAGCTTTTCTTATAATGCTTGCAAGCCAAGAAATACAAAAATAGAAGATAATAGCCAACACCAACCTGAAGTAACAGACACCAATTCTTCATGGTGTCACGGGTTTTGACATTGTCTCCTGAAGTCTAGTCAATTTTTTACCCATAAAGAAAGAGGAGAAGAAGTAGACTGCATTTCAAAGAAACCCAAGACCCAGGCCAACAAGCTTAGAGAACTTTTCCTGCACTACAATGATTTTACACATAAAAATACCGTGTAGTATGTGATGCAACACTGATATACTGGTGCTCGAAAATTGAGAGATAGATCTCCATTTATTTTCTATAGCAATAATAGCCTATTTTACTCCAAATTATTATTAATACAGAGTTGGCAAAAAAACTGTTGACTAGCCCAAATTGAATAAGTGCTGCTTTTTCAGTCTCTAAACATTTCGAAAATATCCAGACAGCATTGTGATACGACACTAACCTCTTAAAAATTAAACTGTACAGATGCTAGTGCTGCAACAAATAAACTAAGTAGAATGAGCTCTACCAATGTACTAAGGTGTCCACTTCTCCCATGAACACCGCACTGTGCAGCCAGCGCTCTGCAGGGTGCCTTTCATGGGCGCTTGCGAAACTAGCGCACAAGCAGTGACAGCTGCCTGTGTGGCCTTTGCTGTGTCATCTGCTAAAGCGCGGCGACTCCGCCGATCGTACTTGCTTAGCGGTGGAGCTAACTTCACTCTCTCTATGCGCAAGCAGACTAAGAATCGTGCACGATTTACGATACGGGCGGCGACAGCGCTTGGTACTATCCAGCTTTTGCTCCTCATGTTTTCTTTATATCCAGCATGCGATCTCACAAGCGAGAAACCTTGCCCCTTGCATGGGTAAAATCTCAAAGGCCCACTGGCGTTCCCTCGACTAGTCTACTTAGCTGTTTTGGTCTAACCAGAACATTCCCGTGACTGACACGATTGTTTTCATCAACTGAAAGTTTGTGCAGTATAGTTGAGAATAAAATAAAGATGAGTTTGAATATGCTGCAAATTAAAGACAGAAAGAAAACTTTCCACACCATGCTGTAATGTTGAGCCAAAAAAGATAAAAAGCTATGCGAGGGGGCCTTGAGTCACGTAGCGATAAAAAGGGAATGAAGCTTAATTCAATGCCTGCGAAAGTAAATATTTGACAGTAGTGGTTCTTTGGTGCACTGATGGCTGAAAACTCTGTCGCTACACTTTTTAGTTTGCCTGCAAGAATGAATCGAAGAAGCTGGTTAGCAAATGAGTAAAAATTAGGGCGGCGTGTTGGCGACTTATACAGCCTAGCACGTGGAGACAGCCATGCTGGTAACACCCGAGTGATATGCCACTAATGTGAAATGAATGCAATTCTCACATCCATTTGTTTTCTAGTGACTCACGAACGGAAACTTTCCCACATTCAAAGCTGTTATCCAAGACACTACCATACATTTATCGCCAATCTTGGGGCACACAATCTTAAGGCTGATCAAAATCGCATGAGCAGCAGCAACATTCTGGCGACTACTAACAAAGCAACTAAGCAGTAGTGTAGCCAGAGGGTGGCGAACGGGGGTCATGTCCTCCCCCCTCCCCCTTTTGATTTTTTTGCTCGACATTCAAAGCGCAATATAACTATTTGCCTGCTCAGCCCAAACTTCACATCAAGGCAGCGACCTCCTCCTCCCCCCCTAAAGCATTTATGCCTTTTCCCCTGCAGATGAGTAGCTTTGCTGTGCAAGCTACAGCCCAGTTTGGATATTTTATTCATGGATGGGCTAAGGTTTCTTACTTGTGAAATCGCAAGCGAAAAGAAAAGTGCTAGGCATAAAAGTTGGGCAGGACAAGGAGCATTTGTTGCACTTCTCAAGAAGCACGCCGCATTGGCAATATGTATGAGCATTACCTTCACAGCAAAGCAAGAACGATGCAGCGAAGCCGACGCGCTTCAGCAGACGGTGCGGCGAATGCCGCCCCACCTACAGCTGTCAATGCACTTGTGCATCAGCTTGGCAAGCGCCCGCGATCGGTGCTTCACAGATCGCTAGTCGCACGGTGCGGTGTTCAAGGTGGAAGTAGACGCCTTTGTACACGAAAGGCCAGACACGTTGAAAATGCCTTTACATGGAAAGTCAGTCACTTACTTAAAATACACTATGGAGCTTGGAAACATTAGTGTTTAGACGCACTGAACTGACAAAAAAAAAAACTGGTTAAAGAGCAGAAGGCAACCCCTCCCCAAAACTCTAAAGTACTGGAACATATGAGAGCACCCTAACTAATTTGCTATAACACTTGTTCATATGAAGCAGTTTCAGTTCCCAAGAGTTGGATGTGTCATGAAATTCTGAAACACTCACTAGCTTTGTACCTGCATTCCATTCAGCAGCCACACGCAAGTGCGGCCAGAGGTAAAGTGCACAGCACCTTAATTATGAACATCATTGCACCTAGACTTATTGTAAAATAATGCTACAAAATTTACTTTTTATGTCACGATAATGTCAATGACAACAGCTTGAAATTTTAGAGGCAAATTTCAGTGTCAACTTAAAATATCCTATCGTAACTTCCTCAGTTAATTATAACACTTGCTGAGTGCACTATCATGTCTGAAAAACATTCTAGAGTTTCCAAAAATTTTACAATATAAATCAATACTCCTTTAGAATTGCACACTACACATTTACACCACTTCCAATACAGCTAGCCATGCAGACAAAAAAAGATTTTCACATGGGGATAGGCACAGATATGCCAGCTCTAAATGAGCAACAGTTAGAATGATAGCCCAAAAGTTTGGTTTTCTTAGGTTTCAAAGCCAGCACTAGAAATTAGCGTTTCATCTGATTGATTGATATGTGGGGTTTAACGTCCCAAAACCACTATATGATTATGAGAGACGCCGTAGTGGAGGGCTCCGGAAATTTAGACCACCTGGGGTTCTTTAACGTGCACCCAAATCTGAGCACACGGGCCTACAACATTTCCGCCTCCATCGGAAATGCAGCCGCCGCAGCGTTCCATCTGTCAAACACTACATATTGCATTTTCAAAAGAATAGAAAGTTAGACTTGTTGATGGTGCATGACTACAGGTACAGTGCAAGGAAGATGAGGCAGGCAGGAGCAGCCTTGGGTGCATCTACTCCTCCGTCTCATCTACCTCGTGCCATGCGTACTCTTTCTCAGCATGTAAGTTTTGGTCTTTCTAAGCTTTTGGTTTGTGTACCTTATGAAATGGTTTGTCTAATAAAACATCCAAACAGCATTCTAAGTAGTCTCATTCTTAATCCACATGACGATGCAGACTTGAAGGGTTGAACAGTGGGCAATAAACAGGAGAAGCCTCATCCTGGAACCAGTGGGTTCTTGCTTCACTGGGGCAACAACTCTGATTAGAGATTCTACAACACAAAGCTCTATAAGCCACACCTATGTACTTGCATAATATACCACAAACTTTAGGTTGTACCCTGTCATACATTAGTGTGAGAGCTTTAAAAAACTCGTTTTGCAAAAATTCCAGTGTCCGCATTATTGGTTGTGAGCACATCAGCAGTGACTGTGATCAAAAACTCGTGACAGATGCAAACTAATTAATGAACCATAAAAAAGAAAACTTCAGTTTGTGTGGGAATCGAACCCAGGACTTCTGTGTGGAAAGCAGGTGTTCTACCACAGAGCCATGCCTATCTTTGAAACTGTTTAGGAGGGGGGGGGGGGGAAGGAAAGACCCACTATATGAGTTATGTAGTGGAAGGAGTGCCCTTAGCGTGGCAGAATAAAATTGCACCAGGTGTCAAGACATGTGAACTGCACAATCAGTAGTTTAAAAGCCCACTAATTACAAAGTGCACAGTCATCATTAATCATCATTATTAGCAACAGAATGAGCAAAGTGTGCAGCTGTGAGGTTATGTGTGCTGCCTTACGAAAGTGTAGTAGGTAGTACTTCCAATTCGGAAAAGGAATCGTATCGTATGCACTTGTGTAAGGGCCACACTTGTTTTCCACAATGTTGATGGGGTGTGGCCCATCCACAAAAGTGTAAATTTTTCTTCAAAGTATGTATATAAAAACCTATTCATTCGGTGCCACATGATATATCTGGCATCTAGCTACGAACACCCTCGCTAGATGTTTTTATTGGCATCGCTGCTTGGACTCTGCTTGTCGCCACTGCTCACGCCATTCGTATGTTCACGTATCCAATCGTCCTCAGTGCCCTCCACAGCAATGGAAATCCTGGGGACCTTGAAAGGCTTTACAATGATGTCCACGGACACCACACGACAGGCTTTTAAAATCCAAGGGCAGCAGCTGACGTGATGTTCTCCTAAATCGTACAGTTGGCATTTTCTCGTGCTGTCCTGCTGCCATCCATTCAGAATACTAACGTTTTAATTCTGCCTTAAATGGCCTATTATAGACACATCCAGTGGTTGCAACATGCCTGTTAAACTGCCGGGGATGACTGCCAAATGCGTACAAGCTTCTATAAGACATTCCTTTATGCACTGTCAGGTGGTCCCGAAAGCTGTCCAACGCTGCCAGTTGCTGGAGAGATTTTTTTTCTTCCAAAATTTGCACTGCCAACTGGATGAATGGATGGATGGATATGGCTGTACCCTTTTGATCGGGCGGTGGCTAGCGCCACCAAGCCGTAATACTCAATGAACAAAAAACTAGATTTATTTTTTTTTCTTTAAGAAGTGAGTTTGAGGATTCGTACTTTGCAGTGAAGAGTTTAATTTTCACTCGTGCCTTGACTTTAGCCACCAATCAGATAACCTCCTTCTAGTTAAGTCTACTTGCTTAAAGTCTATTTTGCCCTCCCGGTCCCTAAACCCCAGTGCTTTGAAAAACTCTGCGCCATCATCCAGAACTATAGGGTAAAGCCCTTTACAGAACATTATCAAGTGTTCCGCAGTTTCTTTTTCCTCTCCACACGCACTGCATACTGTGTCTACCCCTTCGTATTTGGCCCGATATGTCTTGGTTCGCAGTACTCCCGTTATGGCCTCAAACAGTAGAGAACTACCCCGAGTATTATCATAGATCCTTTCCTTGGCAATTTCCTGCTTAAAAGTTCGATAGATCTCTAGTGTGGACTTCTTAATCATGCCCATTCTCCACATGTCAGTCTCCGTTTCCTTCACTTCCTTCTTAACCGATAGTTCTTTTGGGTTTGGCCACCTGCTGTTATCTAAGTATTTACCAGTCAATTTCCTGGTTCGCTTCCTCCATTTTGTATCGACATTCTTCATGTACAAGTAGCTGAAAACCTTCCTAGCCCAACGCTCCTCCCCCATTTCTCTGAATCGCTTCTCAAATATTATCTTGCTGCTAGCTTCCCTGCCCTCAAATGATGTCCATCCCATATCACCTTGTACTCCCTGATTTGGTGTATTCCCGTGAGCTCCTAAAGCAAGCCTACCTAATCCACGTTGCTCAATTTCTAATCTTGCTTGAACTTCTGATCTCATGCACAAGACCGCATTGCCGAACGTCAGCCCAGGAACCATGACCCCTTTCCATATTCCTCTCACAACATCATACCTATTGTAATTCCACAGTGCCCTATTTTTCATCACTGCTGCATTCCTGTTACCTTTAGTCGTCACGTATATTTCGTGTTCCCTCAGGTACTCGGTCCCACTGCTTATCCATACGCCCAGATATTTGTACTTATCTGTTATCTCTAGCGTGACCTCCTGTATTCTAAGCTCACTACCTTCGTTGTCATTGAAAATCATGACTGCTGATTTTTTCTTACTGAATCTAAAATCTAACCTATCTCCCTCATTACCGCAGATGTCCAACTGTGAGGGGGCAGGAGCGCCACCTTTAGTCAAGTGTATACGGTATGGCATAGAAGGCACTTCACAACTGTATTTGTACTACAGTGAAATCTCGGTATAACACACTTCAGTAGGCCGCAGAAATTTGTTCATTATTTTGAAAGGTCGTTGTAGTGAAAGCCCAAAAATTAACCATATTTTTCACTGACTAAAACGATTTACCTTTACAATAGTGGGTCCTTGAACTCGTTTTTTACGAGAAAAAACAAATGCACAAGTGAACACGAAAAAATGCATGTTTACTTAAAGAAGTCTATGATTTTTTTTTTGATGCGTGCAGCACAAACATTGCAGCGCGAAGGCCTCCAGCTCATTCTCATTTTTGTGGTGCGATTCTGTTCTTAGGTCACAACAGCCTGATTTTTGCCTTACAGTCGCCGAAGAATATCAACTTTCTCGCTTAGCGAAAACTGTCTTTGCTTCTTCGTCACAAGCAGTGATGAATTCAGTAGCACCGGAGCACGAACGCCGACTTGCATTACGAACGCGAAGTAATCTCTGAAAAAAGATGAACATGACTGACTAAAGCATAGTTTTTTCTTCCTCCATGGACTAAAGTGACAAAGATAAGAAAAACCTGAAGCGTCGCCGCTGTCATCGCCTCTTCCGAAGAAAAGAGCTAAAAAAGAAAATTCCTCCCGTTTAGCTTTCTGCTCCCTCCTTGTCTCAGGTTTTCGGCGCCCATGCTTCCTACTACGCAACTCCCACTCTGCCTTGCTGACCTTGCCCTCCTGTGTTGCCTTTGCCCCTCGCTTCTGCGCTTGTAAACCTGCACCACTACGGCGATCGTGACGAAAGCCAGAACATGAGTTCGTAGTACTGAGGCGCTGTTAACATAACGCGGAATTAAAATAGCATTCGTTATTCTGAAAAGTTCGATATTCTAAAGTTCGTAGTAGTGAAATAATTTTGCTATAAAACCATTAGCAGTTGGTGCAGGATTTTTCAAAAGTTTGTTAACCTGAAAAGTTCGTTAATGTGGTGTTCGTTCTATCGAGATTTCACTGTATATGCCTTCTAGGATAGCTTGAAATGGACACACATTGTTTTTTTTGCGGCAGTGTTGAGATGTCTACCTAAAAACGAAGCTAGGCTAGCATTTGAGTGGGCAATGTGTTTGGCGCCTAATTGCGGTCCACTCTTGAAGGCAAAGCTCAAGTGCCCTCTTAATTTTTCAGTCAAATGTAGAAATCTAGTCACTGGATGGTCGGAGTTTTCGCAGTAAATTGGAAGACAAAAGCCTTTGATGGCCCACACTCTAACCTGCGCAAGTGAAATTTCTTCACGGTTAGAAAAAGAGGCTGTGAAAATTGTGTGTACTTGTACAGAAAATGACAGCACACTTAAGAAGTGTTTTATAGTGCACAGAGTGTTGGCAATGTTCTACCAGAGCACGTCCCGTCAGCACATGCACACAACTCCTTCACAGCTCTCAGGGCCATGGATAGTGCTAAGCTAACCTCTACTAGTGCAGCACTCTGTAACATATAATGCAAGCTTGTATTGTCGGTGTTGACTGCTTTTACTGAATTAGCATAGGTATATGTAAGTACAAAGGTGTGGCTATATTACTACTTTTTTTTTACTCAAGAACCTGTTCACTGGAGGATAAACGAGTGAGAGTATAAACAAAAAGCCCAACTTATATGCTGGAAATTAATTATGCTGAATTTAGTAAGTCTATGCAGGCATTCCAGGTTGTGCAAGTATTATGGCAGTGCATGCATTTCAATCATGCACAACAAAATGTAAAGAAAAAAAAAACTTCGTGTTACCCAGTCCTGAGGCTGAACACTCTTGCTGTCAGCTGGAGGCATGGGTCCAGTCTTACCGCCAGCCGAACTTGCTATATCAAGAAAGAAAGACACCCAACAGTAAGAAACGTACTTGCCAAATTATTTTTAAAAATACAGAACGAAACGAGCTACCATAACTTGATACTTAGTGCTAAACGAAGGTTCAGAACAACTTTTGCATCAGCATCGCCCTCACACTGCAAGTACAGTAGACTCTCAGTAAACGAAGCTTGAAGGGACCGGGAAAATATGTTCCATTTAACAGGAGTTCCGTTTACTGAGAGGTGAACAAGGGTGCAGAATACAAGCCTGAAGCCAATCATTGCAGAGGCAATAGTTCCGTTTAACAGATTTCCGTTTACTTAGAGTCTACTGTAATATGCAAGATCAGGTGAACAAAAAGAGCTTACATAACCCTGCATCACCCAATCCCTTTTCTTTGGTACCGTCGGTTGCATCTTTCTCTTCACAAGCTTGGGCGACTGGCACATCAAGGTGCACAGGTTCTGCAGCTGTTTCAGGCACCTTGGCTACAGAGAGCTTCAAGCCGGAATCTTCAGGTGCAACCTCCATGGGGTCACTGCTATGGGCAGACCTTTCATCACCAGCAAGGCCCATCGTCAGCGGTGTTGACAAAGGCTCTTCTGTCACCAGTGGTGTCTCAGAGCTCCCATGGTTCTTGTTTTCCGATTTTTCAGTTTCTGCATAGAATTACCAGTGAAACAAAGCCTTTCCTGATTAACGAAAAAAATTTCACCTTAAAGCTGAAGGACTCACAAATGTGAGGTGACCATTACATACATTAGGTCCCTAGAATGATGCCCTATCCTGAAACAGTACAGTTAATAAAAGCACTTCGAAACATGATTATTACCTGAAAATGACACGAAGAAACATGTTTAGTGTAAGAGAACCCTGCTATCCCAACCTACTTCCAAAAGCGATCATCCCAATACAGTGTTGAAAAAAAAAAAAGACATTTCCATTATCATTACAGGCATATATGACAGGACTAAGCATGTGTCATGATATAAAGAGCAAGAATAATATCAAAGAAGAATTGAGCACAGCACAACAAGTTTCTTTTTACAGCTGCTATGACATTACAACAAGAGTCGTTTTTGGCGCCTTAGTTGTCCACCGCTGCCGGTGTTTGTAACCACTATCGCATGGATAAAAAAAAAACAATGACACAATGAGATTCAAACCCGTGTCCCCTGCATGCCAGCCCAGCATTCTACCCCTGAGCCACGCTGGTGCTTGGAACTGTTACGAAGTGACCATAGGAAGGCTTTATGATAAGAGACGAATCGCATTAGTAAGAGTAATAAAGCGTTTTAGAACAGAAAAGGAACAACCAAGCATCACAGAATGTGAATTACATAACGAACGGGTCGTCAAACACTCCAAGCCATTACTAAAGCCCCAGGAAAAATTCTTTGCAGCATCAGCTGCGGAATCAAAAATTCAAAATCAAGATTCAGAATAAAGAAATTGCAGAAAATTCTTCGCTACATTACAGAGGGTACCACATTTCTCCGAAAAAAATGATGAATATTAACATAGTGAATGCCTCTCTACTACAAAAAATTATTTTTTATGGCATAGTGGGTACCCTGCAGGTGTGCTTGTAGCAGTTACCCGAAGAGTGTTTAAAAAAGGCTCTAGAAAGTTTACTCTTCCAGCTTTCACTGTGACTGTGCTGCACGTTCTGTGCAGTGCTAGCAGTTTTTTTCTTTGTAGTTTTATCGCGATAGCAATGATGTGGAGACTCGGCTGTACTTCACCCAGCGTCGACAACGACAACCGCAGTCATTCACCGTATATGTATACATATCTATATATATAAAAATGCAAGAAAAAAAACCAAAAAAGACTACGGCGCACGAATCAAACGTGCAACCTCTTACTTGTGAGTGCGTGGCGTGAGCCCCGAAGGAGCGCCTTTTTCGACGTCAAAACGGCAAGCTATTTATACCTACCATAAACCGCTGGCAATGCCCATCTCCGAGAAACTATCATGTTTTCGTCATTACCAGGGAGATGGTGCAATGAGCGCGCGTCGCCAGATCATCACAACATAGCGATGTGCGCTCATGAGTTGATCTGCCACGTGTACTTTGCCCCGCAAAGGGTGAGAGGAGGTAGACGCTCACGCGTGCACGCGCTTATCTCGCAGTGGGAAGAATTGTATGCCTTCAGCTTTCACCGGAATGATTTTGTTGTTCCTGGGCGCACACAGGTTACTGCTCTCTCTGCACAGTCTCCGTTTGCGAAAAGGGCGCGCTTGTCAGACACAGTGAAGTAAAACCGAGACACTTATTCGCGTCATTTGTGCATCAGCAATGTGGGGCACGTTTCGATCTGCTTGCCATTCTTCGTGCGACGTTCCAATTTGTAGCTATCGCATTCATTGCTGCGCCTTTGCAGCAAAGCTGCCACTTTTTAGGGGCGAAGCTCCTTATGGCGTGGCTTGTACGTCCTTGTTGTGGGTAACTGCCCCTTGTTAGTTCTTGAACCGGCCATAGTGGGCAGTACTTGTACTATACGCTGAAAAATGGTATATGAAGTTTAACATCCCAAAACCACCATACGATTATGAGAGACGCCGTAGGGGAGAGCTCGGGAAGTTTTGACCACCTTGGGTTCTTTAACGTGCACTCAAATCTTAGCACACGGGCCTACAACATTTCCCCCTTCATCGGAAATGCAGCCGCCGCAGCCGGGATTTGATCCCACAACCTGCGGGTTAGCAGCCGAGTACCTTAGCCACTAGACCACCGCTATGGAGCACGCTGAAAAATGCAAATGGTACGACACTAGAGGGTGTTACATGTAGAAAAGAAGGATTGACGGCACACATACGGAAGGAGAGAGACGATCGCGTGTTCTTCCACAGTGCCGTACGCTAGGGGGCGCTCTATAGTACAACAGAAGCGCCGTTTTGGCGTGCGTATTCATTCAGAGACTCGGAGACGGAGGATGGACAAGGCAGCTGAGCGGCATGCGCGCAGGGTGGCGGCAGCTCGTGCTCGAAGAAGGGACCTTGATGCTCGGGCGCACGAGGCAGAAGCGCGCCTCGTGCACGCTTCTGCGAGGACCTTGCAGTACGACAACAGGAGGCCGAAGCGGCGTGCAGACCCAGCTTCGCCCCACTCTTCATCATTCACCCCGTGGATATGCTGTCATTTTTCCCCCACCTAAGTTCATGATGCATGTTTACCAATTCACTGTCCCTGATAAGACTAAAGAGAATGGGTACTCAGCTATAACAGTAATCATTGGTGGAAAAGCCATTTTATGGAATCGAGGCCTGCCTGAAAGGATCATGAATCACCCCTTGAGGGTGGTGAAAAAGTACATCCAATAAAAAGTAGACGCTTGTACGAATTGCTCAGCCGAATCTAGCAGTTGTGTATAACGACGAGAGTTTAGAAATTCCCATCCTCTCAGGTGCAGTTTTTTTAAACAAAGGCTCCTTTTTGTGAGACACACCAGTGCCTGCTGCTTAGCTCCACACAACCAACAGCATTCTATTGGCCACAGACCAACCTATATTAAGAGTCTTTGCAGCAGCAGTTACGGCTCTACGTATCGGCATCTATTCTAAAGGTTTTTCAACGCTTCCGCAGGTTTTTGGACGATTCCGAAGAAATCAAGTGTGCTGTTGGACGACGGTTGCCTCGGATTCGGTAGTCCTGTGCTACCGACCATTTCAGCTTTTCGACGCCTGCTTCACCACCTGACTGAGCCATCTGTGTTCATGCATTCTACACGAATATCAGCGTCGGCTATCCTTGGTGGATAAGGGATCATCTGCGTGGATCTACTGCGCTGATCACCTGCTCGTGTTCCGGCATAAAGCGGAGGCCCGTCTCACCCAGCGTCACTTTGCAGCAGCAGTTACGGCTCTACGTATCGGCATCTATTCTAAAGGTTTTTCAACGCTTCCGCAGGTCAGTGGCCTTCTTGTTGTTTTGGGCATCGTGCGTTGCCGTGACTGCTGCTGTGAGTGATTTAGTGCTGTGAGTGATTTAGTTCTGCAATTACTACCGCACTGTACAACCTTGCTCATTGTTTTGATTGCCTACAAACATGCCCTCAAATGTCGAGTTGGCGAAGCGCATTGAACAGCTTGAGGGAGAAATAGCCTCTAAACTGGGAGAAATAAACTGGGAGAAATAGCCTCTAAACTAATTGAAGAATGCAAACCCAAACTTCTGGCACTAATACCAGAGACGTCAAAGTTGAAGGCTAAAGTACAGAGCCTCTTGTCAGGCGTCAGTGGTCTCAATGCGCTTGTTGAGGAGCTACGCTCCGAGAACGCCACGTTAGTTGCCTCTAATAAGTCTCTAAAGAAACAAAATGAAGTTTTAACCAACCGTGTGTCAGAACTGGAACAATACTCGAGACTTAACAACGTAGAACTAAAGGGAATTCCGTGCTCTCAAGGGGAAGATTGCACAGCCATAGTAAAAGCTGTGGCTACTAAAATCTACTGCACTATTCTTGATTCTGACATCGACGTCATTCATCACGTCCTCACTAAGAATGACTCAAAAAAAAAAACATTATCGCGCCCTTCTGTTTTCGCGATAAGAAGCAAGAATTTTTAAGCAAGGCTCGCAAGGCCAAACTGCACACGAATGATCTCGGATTCCCAGGCCCTCATCATTATCCTCTGTATATAAATGACCATCTCACCGTAGAAAACAAAAGGTTGTTTGCGAAAGCTCTTTCCCTCAAGAGAGAGAAGGGTTGGGCGTTCCTTTGGACGGATAATTGCCATATTAAGGCGAGGCAATCAAACGAAAGTAGGGTTATCGGATTCGCACTGAAGCTGACCTTTCTATCTTTCGATAGATCTGGTCACTTATCTATCTAGGAAACTCTGCGCGACATCATGTCGTCTTATTTTAGTATCAATAACTTAGATTCCTTCTTGAATAACTCTGCCATTTCAGGAATTCACATTAACACACATAGTCTAAGAAAAAATCATGATGAAATAAACACTCTTTTACACTCTTTCAAAAGTTCCTTTTCCCTCGTCTGCATCACGGAAACATGGCTTACACTAGAGGATCAAAACTTGTTTGGCTTACAAGGTTACTTGTCAGAATACTGCAATCGCACATCAAGTAGCCATGGTGGCGCAGCCATCTTTATCTCCCCTACTTTGCCCTATAAACGCAGATCTGACCTTCATGTTGTCGTCGATAGCTGCGAATCTGTTTGGATAGAACTAGACAAGCCTTCATCCACTGGTAAACTTATCACTGGAACTATCTATCGGTCGCCTTCGTCGTCAATTTCTGAGTTCTTTTCAAGTCTCTATGCTGTCCTTGAAACATTATCATGTGAACGTAAAAATGTTGTTATTGTGGGTGACTTAAACATTGATTTACTTGAAGATACTTCCAATCGCATTGAATATGCAAATTGTTACCAAGGTTTTGGTTACGAGTCCTTAATCACACTTCCAACTAGATGCATTCCTGGCCGCATAGCACACTCATTGACCATGTTCTGTCTAACTTTCTTTCACCTGAACAAAGTGGTGTTCTTAAAGTAAATATTACTGACCATTACCCTGTTTTCTTCTCATGTAAAAACTTCAAGCATAATCGCGATGTAAGATTTTCTAAATCAATTCTAAACAAAGAAAAGTATGTGAACCGCGTAACAAATGTCGGCTGGT